CCCCGGGAGGAGTTGGGGGCGGCGGCGGCGGACTCCGCGGCCAACCCAAGCAAGGGCCTCTTTCCTTTGCGCATCTGTTTCCAGGGCGACGAGAGCGCCTGCCCCACCCGGGACTTCGTGGTGGGCGCGCTCATCCTGCGCTCCATCGGCATGGAGCCCGGCGACATCTACGCCGTCATCCAGATCCCCGGCAGCCGCGAGTTCGACGTGAGCTTCCGCTCGGCCGAGAAGCTGGCCCTGTTCCTGCGCGTCTACGAGGAGAAGCGCGAGCGGGAGGACTGCTGGGACAACTTCGTGGTGCTGGGGCGCAGCCGGTCCAGCCTGAAGACGCTCTTCATCCTCTTCCGCAACGAGACGGTGGACGTGGAGGACATCGTGACCTGGCTCAAGCGCCACTGCGATGTGCTGGCCGTGCCCGTGAAGGTGACCGACAGGTTCGGGATCTGGACCGGGGAGTACAAGTGTGAGATCGAGCTGCGCCAGGGCGAGGGCGGCGTCCGGCACCTGCCGGGGGCCTTCTTTCTGGGGGCCGAGCGGGGCTACAGCTGGTACAAGGGGCAGCCCAAGACGTGCTTTAAATGTGGTTCCCGGACCCACCTGAGCGGCAGCTGCACGCAGGACAGGTGCTTCAGGTGCGGGGAGGAGGGGCACCTGAGCCCTTACTGCCGAAAGGGCATCGTGTGCAACCTCTGTGGCAAGCGGGGGCACGCCTTCGCCCAGTGTCCCAAAGCGGTTCACAATTCCGTGGCACCTCCGCTGCCCGGGGTGGCCGGGCACTGAGCACCCGCCCGCCTGCCTGCCTGCCTGCCTGCCAGGGTGAAGACAGAGCCAGTTTACCCCTCTTAAGTGCCAAAACCTTTTTTGAAACCATTTTCTATCGTGTTTGAAAGAGATCTTTTTAAACAAGAGATGTCTCTCTCTCTGCCTTCTTAAGCCGAGTGTACTCCATTTCAGCCTTTTCTGAATTGGTGACTCTCATCAGTCGTGACTACCGACAACTGTTAGTGTGCAGTTATGTCGCCAGTCCCTCTGTTGAATTTTGTTTTCGTTTTTTGTAATTGGGGGACGGGGGGGTGGTTTGTACTTGTTACTCCCTATGTCTTGTCTTCTCCCCGAATTTTCACCCTTTGGGCTGCCTTGCTCATCTTGATGTCCTAGCACTTAAGTACCGGGCCCAGCGCGTGGTAGACACTGCGCTCCATCAGTGTTTGTTGACTTGAAAACGTTGTTGACTGTGACTTCTGTCAGGATGTCCAGCTTGTGCAGCTCTTTTTCCCTCCCCCTTATAATTTGCTGCTTCTAATCTGTGTGGTCTGAGAATTTGTGAAACCAGTGTTGTTAGAAGTGTATGTAATCTGAGTCAATAAGCTCTGCATGGTGGCCAAGGGCCTCTCTTATGGCATTAAAACACATGGACTTTGTGACAGCTCTTTTGGTGGCTTAGAAGAGCCACACAATTATGGAATCTAGAATTTTCCTGTTGGAAAGAATCTAGAAGTTGGTTTACACCAATCCCCTGGTTTTCCAACAGTGAAACAGGCCCAGAGAGGTTAAATGACTGGATCATAATCACATAGCTGTCTGGTGCCGGAGCTAGCCTAGAGTTCCCTGACCCCAAGGCCAGTGCTCATTCCACTACCTCTCACACTTCACAACATTTTCCTCAACACTTGAGGGCCCGGAAAGTCTGATCTCTCCAGAATAATGTGCCATCTGGGCCAGAAAGCAGAAAAAGAAGATTTCGCAGGGGCTTCTGAATACTTGGGAGACAGAGAAGGGATAAAAGAACATAATCCAGGGTGCACCTGTTCCCTGGGGTATCACACCTGGATTACAGTGTGCCTGGTCCTTTGGGGGCCTTTCCCTTCCCCTTTCGTTGCCACCATGAGAAATGGGGGTGCTCCTGAGTAAGGAAACCTAGTAAAGGTTTACATTTGCACCTTAGTCTCAATAGTTAGACACCCCAGAGAAGCAGCTAATGGAGTTCATCTGCAAACTCCTGACTCTCAGGAGAAAGGCTGTTTTAACCCAGAATTGTGAGTTGTTAACTTTAAAATGTACTTGTGAAATAGGCCATGCGAGAGAGCATTGGGTCAACTGTTATCAAGTTAAAGGAGAATAGACAATACACTACTTTGGGTTTTTGTCTTCCCTTTGCATTCAGTTTTGCTATTTCCTTGTGGCTTGGAATGTAAAATCCATTGTTAAAAAGTTTTGTTCTGAATAAATATTTATCTTTTGTATTGCTAATTCTGCTGCAGTATTTCCTTTCAAAGTATTAGATGCATGGGTACACAGACCCTAGTTCAATGTGCTTCCTCCTACACACCACTTGTTTACCCTGCAAATACCGTTCCAGCCCCTGCAGGCCAGCACTTAGCACCTACCCTGTGGAACCAGGCCCTTTGGAGTTGCTCCCTAAACCCAGTGTGCTAATCACTTAACTCAAGTTTGAAGTCCCTAACTCAGCTCCAAAGAATCAGAATCACTGGAGCGAGGGAAAACATTTTTAGCAAGCATCCCCAAGCAATTCTGATGAGTGGGCAGTTTTGAGAATCACAGTTCCGAATGGTACTAAAATGAGTGAGAGGGACTCTGTCCTTGAGAAATTACAAACTAGTGGGAAGGACAGGGAAGATGTCAGTTTTGTCATCTTACAGTTGTAAGTGCCAGGAATTGGATGCAAAGTATTCATGGGCTTTTTTAAAATGCCATCTCTTCTAGCTGTAAGGGAGGAAGAGAGAGTCCAAGGACTCTTCTGCAGAGAGCTGACTCAGACCTCCGAACTGATCTAATCCTGGAGATTCCCTCCCCTAACCCCAGCCCCAAACCTCTGAAGGACTTTTCAGCTCTGAGATGTTATGATCCTAAGAAAGTTCCCAGTGCATTGATTCTCTGAGTCAATGCTTTCAGGATATTTCCAGAGCTGATCTGGTGTAGTTGGGGCCTGGGTGGCTCTGGGGAACCCTTTTTTTCAGAGCCAGCTCAGCCCCTCTCCTTCCTGTCTCCCAAAGCAAACAGACCCTTCCCTCCTGGATTCCTCCCTCTTGTTCTCTCCCTCCCCCTCATCTTTCTCTTCTCTGCCTTGCATTCTCCTCCCTCCCAGCGCTTGGAGGCCAGTGGGCAGGAGAAAGCCTGCATTCATCATGCTCCCCTCCCCCTTCTTCCTGGCGGGCACTGTGCCAAGGAGCCTCTTAGGAAGGATCTTCCCTCTCCTGGAGGGAGCGGAGGAAGAAACTTTCCCTGCCCATCCCCCACAGAATCCGCTCCAGGGCCTCCTGCCTAGCGTTCTGGGGACTGAGCCAAGGGTTGGAGCGGAACAAACCTCCCCCAGCTTCCTCTCCCCATCTAGCAGCCCCCAAATTACAATTCCTCACTGTTCATGGGCTCCAGGGGAGTGTGCTGAGATCCCTAGACTGAGGCTGGCGGACTCCCTGCCAGGCCCCGTGCAGGGCGCTGCTCTGCATATGCCCATGAACAAGACAGTGCACTTGCAGAAGGAGATACAGATAAGTAACAAGCAATTTTAAAAATAATAAGTGCTTTTAAATACTCGGGGGGGAAAGTACAAGACGTACAGAATTGTGTGAAGTACAAGTTTCCTAGCAGAGATGATGTCTCCTCTAAAACCTGCAGGATGAATAAGAGCCAAGTAAGGAGGGAAGAGATATCCAAGCACAGAAACAGCCTGTGCAGAGACCTGGAACACACAGCATGTTCAGTCTGGAAAGTCAGAGAAGATGTGGTTGGAAAAATGCCAAGAGGAGGTGGCACGTCGCTTGTAAGTGCTATTTAAGAGGTTTGATTTTGTCTTAACTCCCTGTAGTCTGGCCACCTCCATTCCATTCATTCATTCAACATGTTATGTTAGGCACTAACTCTTTGTAAGCAATGGAATAAAACAAGTCCCCTGGGGCTCAAATTCCAAATTCCAGAATCACACAAATAGGTACATTAATTACACTAGGCAATGGAATAAAACAAAATAGTCAAGTCCCCTGGGGCTCAAATTCCAGAATCACACAAATAGGTACATTAATTACAAACTATGATAATGCATTCAAAGAAACATGCAAGGATATCGTGTTTAACAAGGAAAACTGATCTGGTCTTAAGGGCCAGGGATAGCAACCCAGAGGACATGTTTGAACTGAGATTGAAAGGATATATAGGGAGTTAATTGAGAGATGGGGTGAGGGTAAAGGGATGACGGGTATTAGTCTAGGGGCAAAGGGGAT